CGCACGAGCGTGCTTCATCTTCCATGCCAACACGCTTTTCCTGATTTCGATGTCCCATTTGATCATCAAGAGGCGAGTCTTTGCTCCAACCTTCTCCTTCCCGCTCCTCCGGAGTTCCAAGTGAGGCACGGGGGTTCGTTTCAGGATTGACGTCCTTGGTTCTCGTTTCATCCTCTTCTCGTCTGGTCCTCGGGGCTCGAGAAACCTCCTCCTGGGCATTCGAAATCTCCCTGCTACTACCAATCTCCTGTGACCCGTTTGAGGGGCTGCACAGCTCTATTCGCTCGCTATCCGACGACCCGTCCGACCCTATCGCTCTCGCTTGATTGGCCAACGGCAAGGAGTTGCTCGCACCCGAGGGACTCTCTCGAAGTCCTCCATCCTTGCTCGAAGCAGCACACTGTGTTCCTGCTTGTGTAAGATCTTCATCCGGGGCCCTCTTGCTGCAACCCTTGAAGTCTTTGGACGCGCTACCGCCTGCTGCACGTTCATTGCAGATCTGGTCCGGAGGTGGCCTGAGGTCAGATGGCCGCAAGTCCGCATCTGCTCCTGTATCGGGGCGATGTTTGTGATTGCTCTGGGACTCAGCATCAGCATCATCAGCATCATCAGCATCATCATCGTCGGATATCAGCAATATTGTGCCATCATCGCGCATGATTGAGAGGAGCTCACGTACTCCTATACTCTTGCCATGTGAGGGATTCTCATGCCCAGTGGACTCGATGGTCGTGGAGACAATGATGAAACTTATCCAGGGATCATCTATGAGGAAACAGCCGTCAGACGGAAGCAACGCCAAGTGAACATACTTTCGTCACATTCAATCCAACAAACACAACTGAGCTGCTATCTCAGGCATATCTGATGAGACCATGAAGACAATAGGCCCCATATTTGCATAGACCACTTATGACATCAGACCCTTCAGTTCTCCATGTGGTGGACGTTGAATGCTCGTTTCTCAGCTTCTTCGCTTCATCATGCGCAAATCCTACCAACATGGTGTTCTTTGAACCATGCTTCCTCCAGATCAACGAACTTTCCTGCTCACTTCCTCGCATCGCCATCAACTACCCTTCCCCTCTCAATCTAGCATTATCTCTCCTCCCCTCTGCCGCTCCCACCCGCCCATCCGAGTAGGATGCTGCATCGCATGTGAGACAGTCGTCCCGCCATGCAGTGGTCAGAGGTGGGATGTGGGCTAGTTTGGTAAGAATTCTCCCGGGCCCAGTCAGACCGGCGGCCCTGAGGAGGCCGTCTACCCGGTTGAGTAAAAGTTAGTACGGCATCGTTGGTGTTGTGCTCTGCCTGCTGGGAACGGTGGGAGCGATGCAGGGAAAGGGCGTGACGCGTACGGGAGAGGAGACGGAGACGTAGAGCGGGAGGGAGACGGCGAGGAAGCTGAAGCAGAGCAGACGAGAGCTAGCGCGATCGTAAGATTGAAGTGTACTGTGACATCGGAAGCAGTGGAGGAAGGAAAAGGTATCCCAGGACCTCAGGACTGGAGGCGGTGTAAAGGGGGGAGGGAAGGAGTGAAATCCAATCTGGCAAGCAGCTGAAACAATGCAAATGGAGAAAGCAAATTCTTTTCTTCTCCTTGCTGTCTTCATGGTATGCCTCACCGATGCTGTTCTCAGTTCAACTAGCAATCAAACTATTGCATGCGGAGGATGTACATTTGTAGTCTCGCCAGACGGATCCTTGTTCCGAGCTGGCGTCTGCAGCCAAGATTGCACCTTCCTCGACCTCTCGCTTCGCGGCATCAAGAATGTCTCTCAAGGCGCTTTCGCAGGCATGACCAACCTCTACCACCTCTCCCTCGCCTCCAACGAGCTCGCTGACTTGGATGCTGCCGCCTTTGACGGGCTTGCTGACCTCTACTATCTCTTCCTGTCGGGCAACCAGCTGACAAGGCTTCCTGCTGGGATCTTCGACGGGCTGTCGAGCCTCTACCTAGTGTCGCTCGAGAACAACAAGCTCGAGCAGCTGCAGGAGGGCGTCTTCGACGCGGTCTCGGGGAGCCTGCGGTTCCTCTTTCTCTCCAACAACCAGCTCACGGCGCTGCCCTCCAGGCTGATGAGTGAAGGGTCGAGCCTGTACTACCTCTTTCTCTCGGGCAACCAGCTGTCCAGCGTACCTGCCCAGACGTTCCATGGCCTCTACCATCTCTACTTCCTGTCCCTGGACCACAACAAGCTCTCAAGCCTGGCCGTTGACACGTTCGACGTGCTCTACAGCCTGGAGTGGCTGCTGCTTGACAACAACAAGCTCCCATGTATACCGACGATGGCTTTCAGGTACCTGCCGCAAGCGTACATAGACGTCCGGAACAACTCGATCCAGTGCTACCAGACGCAATGGCCGTCGTTTCTCCTTCACGATGCCGCCCTGCGCCCCTGCAAGGAGTCGACGGACTGCAACGGCACGAGCAGGTCGGTGCTGTGTCCGGTAGGAAGCTACAGCAGCACCGGCACCCTCAAGGACCTCGAGGACTGCGGGGGCATACGCGGACGGGGCGACTGTACTTGCGCCATGTCGTCCTTGTACTCGCCAAGCTTCGCCTGCACCAACGGCTACGACAACAACCCCTTCAGCATCATGCACACGCAGTTCTACTCGACCAACTGGCTCCGGATCGACTTGGGCGCTGCCGACGGCTTGTCCAAGGACATCAGCCGAGTCAGCTTGGTGAGCCGAGCGGACTGCTGCTGGGACAGAGCCAGCTACAGCAAGGTATACATCGGCGACGACGACACGTCAGCCTTGAACAACGTCCTGTGCGGCACATACGGGGCCTTCACCTCTGGCACTGAGCAGCAGACGCTGGAGTGCCGGCTGAGGGGAAGGTACGCGTGGGTATACAAGGCGTACTCGACGGAGCCGATGAACTGGGCGGAGATCACGATCCGAGGGTGCGACCCATGCCCGGAAGGTCTTACGACAGAGGGAGAAGGAGCGACGTCGATCGCCCAGTGCGTCAATCTGAGCGGCCATGGCCCTTTCATCAGCCATCAGGTCAACTCCAGCAGCTACCCAGCTGGATCCAAGATCCCCCCCATGAACTCCATGGAGCACTGCCGACTGAACGCGTCGTGGTATCAGATCCTTTCCAACATAGACCGAAGCTCCCGCGCGGTGAAACTGAGCTACAAGACTGGGGGCCTCGGGAAGCTGATGACTCTGGGAGCGGAGGAGGTCTGGGTATGTCAATACGGGCACCCTTGCTCTCAGAACACGAGCAGCTTTGATCTGCTTCAGGTCAGTGGGAATTGCTCACAGCAGAACTGCTTTAAGTTCTTTGCAGGATGGACTTGACGCCTTCTGCTTCATCTATGACGAGATTGGGTGTACCTTGTTGCTGACAAAGCTCCTTAAGTGCTAACTTGTGATGTTCAGGGAAAAGTTTCGACCATGGGGGCTCATGTCAGAGCTGGGGCTGTAACTTTCTATCGCCGAGTTGACTCGCTCATGCCCTCACTTTCGCCTACCATCCTTCTTTTGTACAAAATTTGTTTTGTGATACCTGCGTGGTACTCAGTCACAGGCTGTGACCCCCCGGATGAGAATGCCAATATGCCAATGTTTCTTTACGGCACTCCGTAACTAGTAAAAGCCTTCAAGAAACCTGTCAAGCAAACACGGTTGTACCGCACCATCTACTGTGTCACCGTGGCAGTCAGTTCAGCCTGACGCATACGGCCGCCGCCCCGCCGCCCCCCGGGCAAGCCGCCGTTGCCTCACACTGACGGTCTACCTCACGGTCTGCACAAAGTGACTCGGGGGGGCCACGAATGCCGCCGGGGCCCTGCTGAGCCTCGGAGCCTGGGGCAGTGAACTGGGGCTGGAATTGGGGCTAGAACTGGGTTCCGAAGACCAGTCCGTGACGGATCACATGGATCTTATGTTAGAGCCCAGACTTGCCGAGCCCAAAAAACTGATAAATTGTAACTCAGTGTTCTGGAACGGCGTATGGTACTCCATTCCGACTATTCGATGGAATGACCAGAGGAAGCATCCACGGGGCGGACAATACCCCTGGTTATCTGTATATAAGCATGGGGTTCTGTCTTCTTCTCCTATTTCACTCTGCCTTTCTCTCTCTCTCTTCCCTCCTCTCTCCTCCCTTCTCTGTTATCTTCCTATCTCTTGCTCTGCTTTATAAATACTCTTATCTCAGAAGTCAATCACCTACCTGCTCTAACTTCGCTATAACTGCATACAATCCATCAGTCCGAAGACTGGTTCGAAGCCCTGTCCGATCAGCTGACGTTCCGATCCGAAGCCGCAGTGGATCAGGCAGTGGATCCGAAGCAGGATCCGAAGACACTGGGGTGAGCTGAGCGGGGACGAGGGCTTCTCCCATATAAGGCTTGATGAGCAGCATGAGAACGAGAGGGGGAGGGAGGGGGGAGTGAAGTGAAGATAAGGTAAAGACGAGACAAGAGAACCATAGATGGTAGAAGATAAGGAAAAGACGAGACAAGAGAACCATAGATGGTAGAAGATAAGGTAAAGACGAGACAAGAGAACCATAGATGGTAGAAGATAAGGTGAAGACGAGACAAGAGAACCATAGATGGTAGAAGATAAGGTAAAGACGAGACAAGAGAACCATAGATGGTAGAAGTAAAGTTTGAGGATCAGACATGCATTTTGGGACTGTAGAAGATTGTTTGGACATTGATTCCATACCTCCAGGCATTCCATGCTTGACAAGTCACTTCATGAATCTACTTGCAAGAAGAAGCTGCTGGCTGCACTGAGTTTCCTGCTGCTCCTTCAAGCCAGCGAGTCTTTCGTGCCGCACTTGGCGTTCCAACGTCGTCCTGGTGTCCGAGCTTGCCGGGCGCACCCACGCTGGGACATGTCGACCTACGGCCTCGGGTTTGATTTCGGCACTTCAGGTGCTCGGATCAACGTCGTAGAGGAGGAGAACCTGGAGGTCGTGTATGAAGCTTCCTGCTCCTACAGCGACCAGACCCCGCAAGTCTGGGTGGACGCGCTCGAGTCCCTGACTACCAACGTCCCCGAGGAGGTTGGCTGGAGGACGACAGTGCGAGCATACCTGACGTTCCTGCAGATCCGAAAGTCCATCAAGAGGATCAGCGTTAGCGGGACTTCGGCGTCAGTGATGATATACAACACGAGGAAGGGGCTGGTGACCCGGGGCCCCCGCATGTATGACTTCTCCGCATCAGCTGACAGCGTCAAGGTCGTGTCAGGTAGACGAGTATGCTCTATCTCCTCTCGCTCACTCCTCCTCCTCCTCCTCCTCCTCCTCTCAGCGTTCGCACCGCCGGGTCACACTGTCCGCTCACCGACCTCCACGCTGCCCAAATTGATCATGTGGAACCAAGAGGAGAAGATCGGAGCGGACGAAGTCTTGTGTAAGAAAGGAAGCAGCTTCTTGTTCCTGCGAGTGAAGTTTGTCCTGCCCAGGTCATCAGGCCGACTTCTTGTCGAGCCAGGTGCTCCTCGTACTCGACAACTCGATTCGTTGCACTCCCACTGTCGCTTCTCCTTCTCCTTCGCCTCCTCGTCCTCGTCGTCATACTGCTCTCCTTTCTCTCCAAATGCTCTTGTTCTGCTTCTCCTTATCGCAGAGTTCTCGCAGTTTTCAGGCAGGACTGACAGGTTTGTGTCGGACTGGAACAACGTTCTCAAACTGGTTCGTGCGGTCATGCCCTGCTGCTGCTCTGCTGCTGCTGCTCTGCTGCTGCTGCTGCTGCTGCTTCTGCTCGTCTTCAGATTGTTCATTCATGACCGTGTTCATGTTTTGTTCTTGGGTCAATGATGATCTGTTTGCACTGACAGGGTTATGACGTCAAGAACTTGCAATATCCGCAGTGGATGGCTGACCTCTTTGCTGCTCAGAAGCTCTCGACTGACATGTAAGAAATCCTTATGGAAGGAAGAAGAGGAAGGGGGGAGGAAGGAAGAGAGGGGGAGAGGGGGAGGAGGGGGAGGAGGGGGAGGAGGGGGAGGAGGGGGAGGAGGGGGAGGAGGGGGAGGAGGGGGGAGGAGGGGGAGGAGGGGGAGGAGGGGGAGGAGGGGGAGGAGGGGGAG